GACATACATACAAAACTAACAGTCAACATCACTCTCAATGGAGAAACTGAAGCCATTCCCCTTGTTAACAGGAACCAGATAAGGATGCCCTTCACTACTATTTCTGTCTAGTAGTGTGCTGAAATGTAAGTCATAACTATGAGACAAGAAAGGGAAATTAAAGATAGTCAAATTGGTAAAGTAGAAGCAAATGTCTATTTGCAGATGACAAGATCCTACACTTAGAAAATCCCAAGACTCAACAAGAAAATTTTGGAACTCATTGAGATTCAGCAAAGGGGCAGGGTACAAGATCAACAAACAAAATTTACTTAGATTCCTTTATATTAATAAAGGAACTCTGAATAGGAAATCAAGGAGACAATACCATTTACAGTAGCCAGCCATACGGTGAAATACTTAAGAAAAAATCTAACCAAAGGAACAAAATGATCTATACAAAGAAAACTATAAAACTCAACTACAAGAAACCAAAAGAGACATGCACACATGGAGGAATCTACCATAGTCATGTGGATGGTGATTATAAGCCATGGAGTTGGTTCTGACTCAGCGAGCCTGTATACCATTTCCGAGGGTGTACGTTTTTACAGGAGCAGAAGGCTTCATCTTTCTCCCACGAAGCCTCTGGTAGATTTGAACTGCTGACCTTGTGGTTGGCAGCCTAACTGGGAATCCTTGTGTGGTGCTATAAGATAAGCTCTAGTTCTGACAATTAGGGCATGCCCATCTTGGGGGGACTATTCTGGCTACCACAAGGAGCGTATTAGAATGCAGATTGCCAGATCTTAATGTTATTATGTTAAGTGCCATCGAGTAGGTTCTGACTCAGCGACCTGTATAGGGTCTCCAAGGAGCAGCTAGCTACTGCCTTGTGGTTCAAACTGACCTTGCAGTGGAGTGTTTATCCTATAGTGCCAAACCAGGACTCTTGCGGTGCTTGAATCCAGTAGGTTTTTCTAGGATGGGCTGGGAACCTCAGGTAGATCTGACACAGCTGGTCTGCAGGCCATCCTTAGACACTAAAAGACAGAAATCCGATAGAAAATCAATGGGTTCATCAGGAAGAGTGAAGCAAGGCACAAGATCACTAGCAGATCCGCCCCAGGGCCAGTAGCCCTGAAGCCTGATGCCCCTATGAGGTTTTCAGGTTGGCCTGGGGTCCTCCCAACTCTGGAGAAACCGCTGTCCTCTGTTCCTGTCCCGACCCTCTCCCAGAGCCCTGCCCTGGAGTGAGCCTTGCAGATTTCCAGATCAGGTTGGTTAGACTAACGTCCCTCTTAGCTTGTCTGATTGCTTCTCGCCTCTTCACAGAATATAACAGATTGTGGGGAGTAACTGCCTTTGACCTTTGTGTTCCCAGGACCTGGGGCATAGAAGGCGCTCCATGAATGTTATATGAGCACAAGAATGAAACCTTAAGTGTGAAAAGTGCTATAAGAGAAGCAGGAGAGAAGACCCCTGACAGTGGCTGATTTGAATACAGAGAGCTTTGACCTGGGCTTAGGAAGAACAAGGTTGGAGCAGGGAGAGGATTCCATGCAGAGGGACAGCATCAGCAAGAAGAGCAGAGTAAGAGAAAACTCCTGGTCTCTGCTAGTCGGTAGCAAAAGGCAAAAGAAGGAAAGCAGAGTCAAAAATGAAATGAGTCTACAAGGCGAAGTTTACATGAACTGAGACTAGAAGAACTAGATGGTGCTCAGCTACCTCTACTGACTGTTCTAATCGGGCCCACAATACATGAAGCCTGGTAGACTGGGAGAAAACAGAACAGAAGCTCAAATTCCTACTAAAACAAGTTTATTGGACTGGTTAGGACTAGAGAACTCCCCAAGACTGGACTCAGATTTTCTTCAACTCTTGAATTGAAGCTAACTGAAGGTCACCTTGTAGCTAAATAAAAAATTGACTCACAAAATATCATTCATTTAAAAATGACCTGTATGACACCCGAGAGAACAAACAAGATGGTGGATCAGGTGGCCGTGTAGTGAGGAGCTCCATCAGCAACAACACAGAATACAGCACCAAGCAGGTTTAGGGAATGGTCCCAGAACTCTGAACTACATATAAAGGAATAGTTAGAA